GGAGGTGGGGGGGTGGGCAGGAGGTAGGGGGGTAAGAGATCAACCAAAGGACTTGTATGCATGCATATAAGCATAACCAATGGACATAAAACACTGGGGGACAGGGGAGGCTAGGGGACTGTCTAGGGCGGGGGGAAAAATGGACACATATGTAATACCCTTTGTAATAAAAAATTAAAAAAAATTGAAATGATTCATCAAAAAAAATGTATCAAATGTAGACATTGCCTTGGACATGATAGCCATCTTTATAAGTATATAACATTCCCATCCATGAACATAGTCTTTCTCCATTTTTTTTCAAGTTTTTTTGGTATACATTTCCATAAGATTGTATAGTTTTTTTATTTATAAAGGTGTGCATTTTATATTAGATTTGTTCCCAAATTGTGTGTGAGTGTGTGTATATATATTTAAATATATTTTTATTGATTTCAGAGAGAGAGGGAGAGAGACATCAATGATGAGAGAGAATCATTGATTGGCTGCCTCCTGCAGGCCCTCTGCTGGGAATCGAGCTTGCAACCCAGGCATGTGCCCTGACCAGGAATCAAACTGTGACCTCCTGGTTTGTAGGTCGATGCTCAATCACTGAGACACATTGGCGGGTCCCCAAAGTATATTTTTAAATAGTGTTTTACTGCCACTATGACTCTTTTGAAAGAAATACAAAGAGTTTTGTGCTTTTTCTCTAACCTCATCTCTGCTTTAGTAATTGATCTGCTCTTGGAAAAAGGTCTCTGCTCTTTCCTTCCCCTCTGACTTTGTTATTGCGCAGTTTCCTCACCTTTGTTGCCTGCTTTTGTTCCAGCAGTTATACAATAGCAACTGACAGGCCTGGTCTGCCTCAGGGTTTCCTGCTGGTCACCCCCTTTCCTCGCCTAGCCTCACTTCTCACTTTTCAACTCACAGACCCCCTAAAAGCATGACCCTGTCCTCATGGCAGCAAGCTCCCAGCCAGCTGGTGGTCATTTGTAAAGTGGGCCCTTAAATTAGGTACTAACTTCTGCTGTATTTCTGCTATCTGGGCCTACACATATTTCAGGAAACTGCCTTCGAGAAATACAGTAAGCAGAAACCCCTGTCCATTGCTCTGCCTGCCTTGGTTTTCTGTTCTTAGCTGGATACAGAGGTTTGTCTGTGGTGGATGTACCCAGGGTGTGCATCTCCACTGCCACCCATTTGCACCTCTCCCTCTCCCAGCCCCCGCCTCATCCACCCCCTAAGCCTGTGCAGGCCAAGCACTGCTTTCACATCCGCTCCTTCTCTGAAGAGTTGCCTGTATTCATTCAGCTGAATGTGAGACTGTATTATGCACCAAGCACTTGAAATCGGGATGGAGTGTAATTGCCTTCTAAATTGTTTCCTGGCCTTCGACCCCCTCCGGTTCTTCCTCCGTGGTGCTGCCAGAAGTGGTATTTGTAGAAAGCACCGTCTGATTATGTCTTCTCTTTGCTGAGACTGGTTAGTGGGGCCCCAGAGCTGCAGGGTCCACGCCAGCTTCTAAGCAGCGTACTCGCTGTGCCTCCATGCCTCTGTCAGCGTTCCCTCCATCTGCAATGCTTGACTCCTGTCCCCCCAGCACTTTTTCCCTCCGACAGCCTGCCTCGGGCATCGCCCCCGGGGAAATGTCCTGAATTACTCCAGTTCAAGTTCATGTCTCCTCCCGTGCTTCCCCTGGACTCTGTGCACACTCCTCTGCTTTCGTTCAGCCAGCTGCATTATTGAGGGCCGTGAGCATTATTCTCCGTGCTTGGCTACAGCAATGAGGCAGAGGGGGTCAGTGCCCACAGAGAGGAGAGACACGTACTAAATGAGTGAGAGGATCGTTTCAGAGAGCAGTGAGTGCTCCGAAGAAAACCAGACAGCAGCGGGCTAGGGCTGGGCTGGGCTGGGTGGGTCTGGAGCAAGTGGACAGGGAAGTCTTCTGGCAAGAGGTGACATTTACACCGAGCTCCGAATGAGCGAAGTAGTATGGAAGCATCTGGAAAGGAGCACCTGCAAGTGCCAAGAGGCAGGGAGAGCGTGGAACGTGAGCTACAGGAGAAGGTTGGCCTGTGTGGCTGGAGCAGAGTGAAGGGCGTGGGCAAGGCCGGAGATGAGGTCAGAAGAGCTGTCAGATCTGAAGACAGCTGGCCTGTCCCATAGCAAGGAGTTTGGATCTTATTCACAAGTGCACTGAGGAGCTGTTGGAGGGCTTAGGGGAATCAGCGGTGTGAAGTGATTTATGTTGGACCCACACTGAGCACCAAATGTCTGTGACTCACCTGTGCACGTCTCTGTAGGCTGAGTTGTGTGAAGGCAGGGACTCTGCGAATCTCTGGCACCTCGTCCCAAGCACTGTTGGTAAATATTTGGGAATTTAATGAACAAACAATCCATGTTTTCTTTTGATAAGCTCTGTTTAAGTGGTTGAGTCTTTCACTTGTGAATAATAGCATTTTCGATTTAAAAAATATATATTTTTACTGATTTCAGACAGGATGGGAGAGGGAGTGAGAGAGAGAAAATCATCAATGATGAGAGAGAATCATCAATCTGCTGCCTCCTGCACACCCCCTACTGGGGATTGAGCCCGCAATCCGGGCATGTGCCCTGACTGAAAATTGAATTGTGACCTCCTGGTTCATAGGTCGACACTCAACCATTGAGCCACACTGGCTCGGCTAACATTTTCAGTTTAGTCAAATGTGACTGTTCTGGTTCTGGGACACTCCCCGTGCGTAAGGAAATGTCACGGACCTTTTCAAGACTCTGGGGTGTTATTATATTCTGGATGTTCTCTCTGCCTTTGAAGTAGTACCACAGGAATGTTAAATAGAATCTCAGGGACCAGAAAGAATGAAAAGCCATGACATTTAAAAAATGAACCTATCAGTAGGCTATAAGTCACATGCAGACATAACATCACAGTGGCATTTGTTCTCAAAAGGAGGGAGGCCAGCGTTCATGTCATCCAGGGTGTGGGGCGACGGGGAGCAGGGCTGGGAGGAAGCCGGCACATGCTGATCATTGGGACTTCCTTGGTTCCATATAAGGACAGTTGTATATGGTTTCCATGTCCTTATCTTCACTTTTAAGCTCTTAGGAAATACAGACCTGAGATGTGCCATTTATCATTCCTGTACAATAGTCCCAGTAATTTTATGGGATTGACGTTTTTGGACTCAGCTTTGCGGTGGGCATTTAATATAGTTAGTATTTTTCTATTATAATTTGTATCTCCAATTTACAGGTGTTCTTTGTTAAACACTGAGTTTTTTCCGAGTCAGTTGGAAACATCTGTCTGTGTCCCATTAAATAAAGCTATAGTTGAACATCTCCTGGTGGAATCACAGTCCAACCCAGTAGACTTGCTCTAATGGCATCATACTTGTAAGAAGGATCTTTTCTCATCACTCCTCTACCTACGCTCAATTAAAGATTACCCTACAGGTGATAGAGCGTTTAAAACTCAGTACATCAAGCACAGTTTGGACTTCTTTTTAAGCTGTAAATATTTTTCTCTGCAGAGACTTCAGCAACACAGAAACACTGTGTAGTGAACAGAAATATTATTGTGAAACGTGCTGCAGCAAACAGGAGGCCCAGAAAAGGTGCGTAAAGGGCTTCGCTCGAGAGGCTGGCTTTGTGTCTGGACGGGGAGCCAGCTTGGGAAGCCTGCCAGATCTGGTTTTGAATCCCAGTTCCGTGGGCTCATAGCCAAGGAGCTCTGGGGAAGTCATTTACCTTTGTCACGGGTAAAAGTAGGATAAGAATGCCCACCTTGGAGAGTTGTCCATTCGTATGATTATTTGCTCATTTGGTCACTCATGCATTCCTTCCACAGATATTGATTGAGTGCTCCTATGTGCCCTGGGTAAACAAGTGGTCATCAGATACAGTCACTGTCGTCTTGGGGTTAAAGGCGAACTATTAAAAGGACCTAGTAGAGTACATGACATATAGTTGTTACTCAGTAATGTTGTTAGTATTGCCCAAACATTGGAACTTCTTTTTGTTTTAATCCTCACCCGAGGATACGTTTATTGATTTCAGAGAGAGTGGAAGGGAGGGTGGGGGGAGAGAGAGAGAAAGAGAGAGAGAGTTATCTGTGTGAGAGAGAATCATTCACCCGCTGCCTCCTGTACACACCTTGACTGGGGATCGAACCTGCAACCGAAGTTCGCTGATGGGAATTGAAACCGCAACCTTTTGGTGGACGGATGACGCTCCAATCAACTGAGCCACCCAGCGAGGTCGCAGAGCTTCTTTTTTAGAAAGTATGAGGTTAAAAATTAATTATTTGATAAGGAGTCATGAGGAAATCAGTAACACATCAATTATATGGATAGCTGTTAGGAAAGTTATCACATTCTGAATTGATGTAGGACCCAAGGTTGCCCATCCTTTTCCCACCATCAGTTTCAGCTCTTGGACAATCTGAGATAACCAGTGCTTCCCTGCTATTTTCCCCCAGAAGCCAAGAAACTTGACATTTTAATTATCCTGTGAAGTCTCCCTGTGAGTTAAATTTACCCGGCCCCTGGTTGTGGAATGCTCTCAGTAACTCATAGATGCTCATTACTGCCATCTAAACCCTCAGAGGCCCGAGGCTGAGGATGAAATAATTCCTCTGCCCAGCCTCCCAGCCCTTCTCATCTTTCCTTGCTGCATCTAAACGTACAGAAGGTTAGTCACTGTGGCAGTTGGAGCGTGGGTGGTAGGCACTTCTCTCTCCTTAGTGGTCAGGGAAGCCCGCCTCTGCTCCCATCCGTATACCTAGGCCAGCCCAGGTCTTCGATGTGGCAGGAAGGTGATTTCTGTGCAGCCCTGGAGGTCTCGCACATTAAAATGTCATGTACTTCTATAAAATAGGAGGTTCCCCATAATTCATATGTTTCTGCTGATGTTATTTTGCTTACTTTTTTATGAACAGAGTTTTACCTTAAAAGATTCCTGAATAGTATTCTCATAAAATTTGTCCCTTTCAAATAATATGCATCAGATGTGTACACAGGCTGAGCAGGATGTACACAAATTCAGGACATTCATAGACAGGGCCCTGGAAGGTGCCCGGAGGACACTCTGTTCTACCAGTGCTCACTACAGAGACTGTTGTCTTTGTGACTTTCTACCGAGGAATATTAACGGCCCTTGGGTGAGAAAAGCTTTCTGTGTTTATATAAGTTTGGGAAATGCTGCATCAAACAATAGAAAACCGTTCCGTGAGTGTGGATTTCTCAAAACCACTGTGCTAAGGTGCAGGGAGGAGCTTCAAAACAGTGGCATTGTCCAAACTGGGTTGCAGAAAGCCCACCCTGTTAGTGTCTCCAGGGCACTGAGGAGCCCAGTTTGGGAAATGGAGCGCTGAGCCAATCCCTGAACGAGGAAACTGAGCCAGAGAAGGGAAATGATGGGCCCAAGAGCACAGAGGGAGTGGGAGTGAGCCTGGCACATTTGGTTTCCTGATGCCAGCGGCTGGCAGTGGCTGTTCATCCTTGTGGTCCTTGGAACCTGGAAGTCCAGACCACACCCTTCTGCTTGTCCTCGCCCCAGCGTCCTCTCCCCAGAGCTGCCACCCTCCTGTCCAGGATCTCAGGAAGGGGCTGAGGAGGGTACCCAGGTGCTGTTCCTCCCTAGCAGGCTGGGCAGTGACAGAGAGCGATCGCACTCCCTAATTTTATTGGTACAGAAGTTCTGGAATGTCTCCTCTCACTCAACAACGCCCCAGGCTGCGTTTTTCTCTGGCCGACTGTGCTCAGTTAGCCAAGGATGTGGGAGAAGTCAGCTCTACACAAGTGAGCAGACTTTTACTCTTATGAGTGGTTGGTCATTTGCAGTTGGTTAGACCCTCCTGCTCTCCATCTGCAGGCAACAGTGGATTCTGTTTCCCTAACGGCTCGGGTACAACTGGGTTTCTATTTCACGGTTCCGTAGGATGAGAGTGAAAAAGCTGCCCATGATTTTGGCCCTGCACCTGAAGCGGTTCAAGTACATGGAGCAGCTGCACAGGTACACCAAGCTCTCCTACCGCGTGGTCTTCCCGCTGGAGCTGCGGCTCTTCAACACCTCCAGCGACGCTGTGAACCTGGACCGCATGTACGACCTGGTGGCCGTGGTGGTGCACTGTGGCAGGTATGGGCCAGCGGCAGCGGGGTGCACGTGGGAAGTAGGGGGGTCATCCCTGTGCCCAAGCAGACCCAGCTGGGCCTTTCCTGGGCTGTGAGTCCGAGTAATAATGGGACTATTTGTGGAATCTCTTCCAAGCTCTTGTATATATATATCATCTAAACAAATATAAATGTGTCTACATGCACACATAAAGTGAAATCAACTGCATTATGATAAGATAATATAAATGTTTTATCACAAGGGAAATAATAAATCTTTGGTTATAAATGATGCTTGGGAGGAGTTTGAAATAACTTGAAGGCATAAATGCTTATGCTGTGATTTTAATTTTTAAAAAGCCAGGTTACAGGTTATGTGATTTCAAAAGTATTTTAAGATGTATGAATAAAGACGAAGCAGTAGATCAGAGTTCAGTTTTCTGGCATTTTGAATGATTGAAAATGTACTCTTAAAAAATATTGTTTATGTATTTCTCAGTCTTTGCCCAACATCCCATGAGAAATATATAATCAGGCCCCGGCTGTGTGACTTAGTTGGTTTGGGAGTCACCCCGTAAACCAAGAGGTTGCCGGCTCAGTCCCCGGTAAGGGGCGTGCAGGAGGCAGCCCAGCAGTGTTGTGCTTTCACATCGATATTTCTCTTCCTCTCTCTCCCTCTCCTGTCCTCTCTCTCTAAAAATCAATAAATTATTTAAAAAAAAAAAAACAACCACAGCAAACTCTATTTTTACAAAGTACATAATCAGAAGAGAAAGAGAGAGAAGGCCCCTAGATAGAGATGAGCAGTGTTTTGCTGAAACTCCTTTGATTAAATCTTTTTTATAATTAAATCTTTTCCGTAATTTGGAGATGCCTGAGCATGGAAAGGCTACTGAGACTTCCCCTCTTGTTTTCCTTTGCTCAGCTGGGGTCGGTGTGTGCTCTCTTCCTGGGTGGGCACAGCTTTCCCTGCCCTCGCGGCTTCTAGATTGGGACGTGCCACAGTGCGGGTGTCTTTTCCTCTGCATCTTGCCTCGGTCGGGCTGTGGTGCACGGACTATTCCGGGAGGTGCACAGCTCCACGTGGAGGAGTGGATGGATGAGCTTTTAATCCTGTGTTGGGGCGGATGGTATCCTGAGCTGTCACGTCACATCTGAAGCACCCCTGTTTTGTCCTGCACATATTGACCAACTTCAGGTCACTGGATATTTTGTGTTCTCAGTTATATTTCTCGGGCAGTGATAAGCCGGCTTTGTGTTTTCCCTGAGGAATAGTTCTAACAGGTCCCTTTGAAGAACCCAGGGGCCCAGTGATCTGGAAGCTGGCCAGGGACACTAGATGGGACCCCGGCAGGGCTTAGGAAGAGGAGGTTTTGGGAAGGCAGAGCCTGGTACCTGGAGGGCATCATGCTGAGGCAGGCAGTGTGATGGGGAAACAAGCGCTCAGATTTTTAGGCTACGCATGGGTTTTCAGTGGGATCTCTGTGAGTGCCAACTGTGATCCTGGGAGCACTGGGGAGGGCACGGCGGAGACCCATTGAGGAGACAGGACGAGCGAGAGACCGGGCTTGGGACAGGCAGCCTCTGTGATGGGTGCACGAGGTCAGAGCAGCCCTGGCAGCAAGGGCGAGTGGGTGCTGAGCCACGCATGCTGCTCACTGGGATTCTTTACATTCTTCCCACCAGAGGCACATTGTTCTGATACACAGAGCAGGGCTGGCTGGGGGCACCGGGAAGCTCTGAGGTTAGGGAGCTGAGCCCTTCTCTGTGCCAGGGCCTCTTGGCTCACGGTGGCAGTGGGTGCACAGCCTCACTCACTGATATCTGCTGCAAGCTCTTTTGAACCCTTGTTTTCTGGGTCCCCGGGCAGGATCTGAAGGTACAGAACACTATGATTTTGATTCATACTATGAGGAATGAACCAACCAGGTGGTGAAAGCAAGGGGAGTGATCGGCAGAGATGTATCTACCCAGGTGACCTTTTAGCTGAGGGCTCAGGATAACATGGGCCAGAGTGCAAACACTGGGGGAGGATCGTTTCAGGCAGTTGCAGCGGGTGGAAGGCTCGCATGTGAAGGGTGATGTGTGTGAAAGCTGAGGAGAGCAGTGGGCTGGAGCTCAGGGAGGGGGCAGAGGGCCGGGTGAGGTTGGAGAAAGGCAGGAACAGTTGGTGTGGGTCATCTTGTATTTAAAGAAAGTAACCATAGGGAAATACCGCTTTTTAGCTTTAATGATGTATTGCACAAAATAAAACTCTAAATTCAGGATTAAAATCTCATTTGTGCAAATCTTAACTACAGAGTAATAGCTGTTTAGTTGTTCTTTCTACTATTTTTATCTTCTATACTAATAAAAGGGTAATATGCTAATTAGACCAGACATCTTCCAGACATCCATCCAGACAAAGCCATGGTGGTAGGGGCCGAGGTAGAGGCAGTTGGGGGCAATCAGGCAGGCAGGGGAAGGCACTTTAGGGGCAACCAGACCAGCAGGGGAGGGCAGTTAGGGGTGATCAGGCAGGCAGGCAGGCAGGCAGGTGAGTGGTTAGGAGCCAATGGTCCAGGATTGCAAGAGCGCAGGGATCAGGCCTAAACTGGCAATAGGACATTCCCCAGGGGGTCCCGGATTGGAGATGGTGCAGGCCAGGCTGAGGGACACTCCCCCCCGCCCCCCGCACAAATTTTGTGCACCGGGCCTCTAGTTGTGTAATATATACCTTTTTATTTTAATGCTTGGTATTATACATTGTGGTTTAGTAACATCTTTCTGAAACTTAAATCAACTCCTCAGAATTTCCCAGGGATCTTCCTGGCTCACTCACAGCAAAGTCCAAAATCTTAGCCATGAGAGCCCCTACCCCCTTTGGCTTTGGCTGCCCCTGGCGCTCTCAGCTCTGGCCTCCTTGCTCTTCCGTGAACACAGCAAGAACTGTATGCCCCAACACCTTTGCACTTGCTGCTCCTTATTCCTGATGCTTCCATCAGGAATAGTCCATGGCTTGTCACACAGTCCTTTCCTTCAGGGAAATTTTCTTCTGCTCACATCTCATGTTATCAGGCCCCTTCCATCCCTTTATATCAGAGAATGCTGTCCCTCTCCACTCACTATGCCATCCATCGGCTTTATTCTTCATGGCCTTTACCACCACTGCCGATGCATCTACATTTTAGTTTGTTTATTCCCTATTCAACCCCTACCCCTACAAAAGTGGGACTTGGTTTTGTTCACTGTGTTTTCCGCTGACAGCCAGAATAGGATCTGGCACATAGTAGGTATGCATACAGTGATTATTTGCTGTATTTGTCGAATCTGAATGTCTGTTTTCCCCTGGATTGTGAGTCCTTAGACACCATATGTCCACTCATCTCTGCACTCCATCTGCCCAGCATAGCGCCAGCACCTGGTGCTCCTCTGTGAGCCGGTCAGGCCAAGTTCTGCCCTGATGCTAGCTTTCTCTAGTGAGTCGCTGCTTATAAAGAAGTAAATGTTAATGGGTTGCTGTCTTTTTCTGTCTTTTCCAGCGGTCCTAATCGTGGGCATTATATCACTATTGTGAAAAGTCACGGCTTCTGGCTTTTGTTTGATGACGACATCGTAGAGGTGGGTATGCAGAGTGCTCTGCGGCAGGGGTGGGATGGGGATCGCATTTTGGGGCATGTGTAGGTGTGGATGTTTTCTGGAAGAGGCCTGTTTTCCTACCATCTGACCTTAGAACAACGCACATTTCTCTCAAAACGAAATCCTGCTGCTTCCCTTTATGGAGAGGGAGGAGGGGTGTGATCACGGCCCCCTTAACACTGTGTTCTGATCACCTGATCAGCCGTGGACAGGGGAGTTTTACACCACCATCGGTCATATTTATAGTGCGTTCTGCCGCCTCACGGACTGTAGTCCTCTCTGGTAGAGACCAAATAATGCACTTCGAAACTCTGTTAAAATTTTCTCATTATATCAAATTTTTCTTGTATTGGTTATTAAAAACTTTATTTTTCAGTCTGTTGGACCTGGAAAATCTTTATATTATACCCAAGTATTCCAAATGTTGATTTTATTGTAGAGGCATAGTAGCTGGAGAGAATTCATGCTCAAAGACATGGTCTAGTTTAGCCCATGGGATAAAAAGAAAGGGAAAGGATCACGGTGACTCCCCAGGCCCCAGTTTGCCATTAGAAAGACAGAAGTCCTGGCTCCTCCTGCGTGCCCACATGCGGCTGCTGCTAACTTCGAGGGTGGCTTTCTCCCCAGAGATGTGCAGTTCATGCAGTCGTGTCCTCTGCCAAGTCTGTGGGAATGCCGGCTGCCATCGGAAGTTCCCAGTTGTGATTGTATAGCCAACAGTGTTCCTGACACTGACTTTGTGCGTTCCATTAGTTTTGTCCTTCTCCCAGTCATCACGTTACACAAGTATATTGTTTTATTTCTCTTTTGTTGCAGAAAATTGATGCCCAAGCTATTGAAGAATTCTATGGCCTGACGTCAGATATATCAAAAAATTCAGAATCTGGATATATTTTATTCTATCAGTCACGAGAATAACTTAAAGGACCGTGGGACTAACTCAAGAGGGGGAGTGTTCAAGCACTGTTACTAGGTTCTCTGCGGACTTGCTTCTCCCCGAGGACCACCAATGTATTACTCCGAGTCTCAATGATCTGGCTGTGTTAGTCTCTCTCTCTCTCTCTCTCTCTCTCTCTCTCTCTCTCTCTTGTTTTTTTTCTACATGCAGCACTATTTGTGGTCTTATTTTAGTCTGAGGTAGAAGTTAACTGCAATCAGATTGTAGTAAGATTTATATGAATAACAGTTGCTAATTTTAGGGTCGGGTAAACATTATGCCACTGGCTGTCTCTGGCTGGATTAGAATGACATGTCCTAGAATGTCTGCAGTCTGTGTGGAGTCTTTGCTGAGCTTTCTAAGTGGTTTCCAGGGTCTCCTTTCAATGCATTCCTTTACCGGGTCCCTGGAAACGTTGCTACCCATGTTTAGCTTCTCTGCCTCGAAGGACAGAATTGGATAGATGTTCACCTTTAGGGCTGCAAGTATAGCTTTAAGTGTGTGCAGGTGAAATTGTTTAAAAGTGAGTAACCTCAGATACTAAAACCATGCTCCAGGTGGGGCAGGGTGAAGAGCTGTTCAGGGTGCCAGTGTGTGCTCAGGCTGTGCTCACCTCGAGCTAGAATTCCCTGGGGCAAAGAGGGTGGGGAGCTCAGAGCAGGCCAAGCCAGGAGGAGGAAGCTTTCATGGGGAGAGAAAGGTTACTTATCTTCCTACCAAAACCACATTCAGGACAATAACTCCGCTGTGTGTTCTTAGTGCCGCTTTCTCCCGCAAGGTCCGTGCGTCGTCTCCCTCCTCTGCCTGGCACTGCTGAGCATCTAGGGCACCTTTCCAGGCCTGGTGTCGGCCTTTCGCAGTCCGTGGTCGCAGGGCCAGGACCCCGGTGGCTGCCGCCAGCGCAGCCCTCCTGAGCAGTCAGACCATCGTTCTGTGCCCGGGAGAACGAGAGCACTGCCCCGGTCGGACCAGCTGCGCGCTGGGCCGCTGTTCACTCTGAGGCAGCTCAGCCTGCTCGCTGAGGCGGTGGCAGCCCAGGCCAAGGTGGCACCTTCCCTGGAGGGAAGACTGGAGTTAACTGGCGTGAAGGTGGGTCGAGGGAAGTGTCGGCGTGGGCGGAGGAGGGAGCCAAACGGCGGCGTTTCTTTGACTCAGGCTCCTAGGATGCTTGACAGGACGGAGTTTTTTGGATGAACCTCATCTCACCCTAGTTATTTTTTTCACTTTTGTTATATATGTATTTATTAGATCATTTGAGTATTGGTACCTTTTATTAAAAGGGTTGATGTGGTGTTTTGCCGTGGAGCTGGTTTTTGGTTTCCTACAAATGCTATGAGTCATAGACCTTCCTTTGGGAAGTCGGTTGACCTCCATACACTATAATATACTGTGAACACATGATCTTGTTATCTAATAAATCAGCGAACGAACATACAGGTGTTTGGCATAATGTGAACTAAAAAATTGAAATGGAAAATGTTAGTGGCCATTTTGCAACAAGTAAGAGCATAGCACTTTATCTAGATGAAAACTGGATTTCTTATCTTTGAAATATCGTGAACTGTTTATTGCTCAGAACTTAAATAAGCATGCTGACACTTCATTTGTTCATGCTTGAAGTGAAATGTTTTACTTTTCACTGGAGAAGACAAAACAGGGTGATCTTCACATTATTGTTTTATACGAGTGACAAAAGTATACATCGCCTTGTTTAAAGGCAAATTCATATTTATAAATATTTTGTCTGTTTTTTCCTCCATGAAACGTATGCAGTGATCACTTACCAGGAAGGTGAGTTTTTATTCTGTTATTAAGGAGAGATACTTTCCAATTGAAGGTGATTGCTGTAGGGAACTGTTTGTACTATATATAACCCATATATTTGACTGCAGGTTGCAAAGTTTAAGAAAATGATGGTTGATATCTAATATATTTGGAACTGATTCTTAAGAAAAACTATTAAAATTATCTTTGAAATGACTCTTGAAGCTAATTTATTAGAAAAAAAATGTTTCATTTGGAAGCCTGTGTAAGTAATACCTAAATGCATAGATTCAGGATGCCTTTTTTTTCTTATAAAGAGTTTTTTTCCCCAGTGACTTAACTGAAGTAATTCCTTTTAATAGAAAGTGTCAGTTAAAATTCAGTTTCCATGGATAGATTTTTGTAATAAAAAAAAAAACAAGAGTGGGGGATGATGCAAAGACATGGAAATGGTCATGTGATGCAGGAAAAGATTGGGAAAATGCACTTATCCTCCAGCACTCTGTTGGGTTTTTAAACTTGAGAGCTATTGGGTAATTTCTCCCTTCTCTTCAATTAATGAAACAGACGCTAGGCAGCTACTTCCCCCGGGTCATTTCACGTTCTGTAAAGACAGCAGCATGCACACACTTCTATTTTTCATCCCTCATTCCTCCCCCAGAGCGGAGATCGGTGTGGGAAACCCGGGGCCATTCTGAGGCCGAGGATAGCACGAGGCTCAGCAGTGCCCCCGCGTGGCCAGGGTGTTTACGTGTCGTTTTCGGGAGGGAGACCTGCTGTATTTTTTTTCAACTGCTGGGTGTTTTAAAATGAGTTACCGTGTTTTACACTTGACACGAGAAGAAATACTTGCTTTACTGGCTACTTACTAGCTTAGCATCTAGATGATGGTGCAGTATGCCGAAAAGGTAGAGTCTGGTAAAATGCTGACATTGGTCCTGGATGTCGATGCGTTTTCCATTCTGAGGCTGCGTCAAGTGGCCTGGACTGAGGCAGCCAAGGAGCAACACAGAGGGTGCTGGTCGGAATAGGAAGCCGGCTGGTTGTGTCGCCTGGTATATTCTGGATGTCAGATGAAGTGGGGAAAGAAATGGCAGAAATGGCCCCCAGGCGTTTATTTTCCTGGGTACCCCTAACTTCATGGGCATGCCTAACAATGAATGATGCTCTAACTGGAGCTTAGGGCTTATTTTCGATACTGGAGTGTAGCTTTATTACAGATGGACTTTATCTTTAAACATTGCATTTTGATCAACTTTGTATAGTCCCGTGTATTAAAATATTGTGCACTAAATGTTTTGCCCTGTTTTGCTCTCCTGTGATCAAGGCGTTTATCAGCACTGTTGTGATTCACTCTGTAGATGGCATGGGTCAGGGAAAGGGTTTCCTACTTTCCTGCCTAAGTAAGTTTCTGTTTTCCAGTATTACATTAATTTATTTTTGGCTTCCATTACTGTGTAACCAAAATAGTTACTCTATGTGTGTGGCATTCATATGACTTTGTTGCTAAAAAAACAAAAACAAAAACAAATAGTTTTCACTTAAAATAATCTGTACCTTAATTTTTTTAAATGTAACCAATTCAAGCACTTTAAGCAATAATGTCAATCTTGTGAAATTTCAATCAGTTTAACACCCTGCCTCTAAAACTGTTTGCAGAAAATAAATAAATTAAAAAAAATAGGAATTCTCTTCCTAGAGAATTATATCTGGGTAATGTTATATACATTATGTTATAAAAATGTGAGTCCTTGTTAAGTCTCATATCTAGGTAGTTATTCTGGACTTAATTTCATAGCAGTGGGAATGTAAAGAACATTCTGGTCATTGTAATAGATAGAGGCAATGCTACTGTCAAGGTTGATAAAGTCACTGTCCTGGAGGTAACTTACTATTTTTGAATGAAGAGGCCAACAGAATTAATCCTGAAATCTGTAGCAAATTGAGCATATCGGTGGGAGAAAAAAAAAAAAGAATTAAGGATTGGCAATTAGGCATCACCAAGAATTGCTTAGCTAGGGACTTTGCATATGAAATCTATTAGTTGCAAAATAAAAGATGTATTCCCCAAAAGGAAGTGGCTGCAGCTCTGGGATCCCATCAGCATCTGGCTTCTCCCTGCCTGCTCTCAGCATTGCCTGAGCTTGCCTGTCAGCTCCTTCTAGAGAGCACACAGTGTTTCAAAAACATAAATCCATTACATTGCATCAACGACTTGGGCATATTGCCTCTTAACTCTCACGTTAAAAGAGCCGGCGTGTTGAAAGTCCTAACACTGGATTTTATGAATCAAATATCTAAACACTTTCTTTACATTATCCTCTATAATAAAAGGGTGATATGCAAATTGACCCTAAGGGCAGAACTACCAGGGAATGACTGGTCGCCGTGACGTGTACTGACCACCAGGGGCCAGACACTCAACGCAGGAGCTGCCTCCTGGTGGTCAGTGCGCTCCCCCAGTGGGAGCAATGCTCAGCCACAAGGCGGGCTGACGGCTGCACGCAAGCCTCTCGCGCTGCCTCGGCAGCGCTAAGGATGGCCGACTGTGGCTTAGGCCCGCTACCCCTGCTCCCCGGGAACTTACATCCCCCGAGGGCTCCCAGGCTGCCAGAGGGGCAGGTGGACATCCCCCAAGGGGTCCCGGACTGCAAGAGGGCACAGGCCAGGCTGAGGGACCCCCCCCCACACACACACACACCTGGAGTGCATGAATTTTTGTGCACCAGGCCTCTAGTTATCAAATAATTAGAACCAGGCATTCAGGGCATGAGAGTTTTTAAGCTGTGTGACTATTTTATTGGTTTATCAACCTGTGTTTCCTTTTATAGTTCCCTTATGGTTCAACAGTGCTTAAAAAAAGCATATTAGGAATTTACAAACAAATGAAAAATAACTTCATGTTGGTTATGAGGCACCACAATCAGAAATGACATGAGATTTTGTAACGAGGAATCCTAACTTTGTGCTCATTTCCCACATGGCGATTCATAGTAAAGTATTTATTAACAGCCTTGGATATCACGTTCACCTCAGTTACATGGACCATGTTTGTGTGAGGGCGCAGGCTGTATCAGGGTGGTTTTGAACCCCATGGGAACCCTTCGTGGGGAGGTTGGGCACTTACGTTGTGGGTTGAAATTCTATTTTGTTCTTACCTCCTTAGCGAAGTCTTGAGTTTTCTTCAGAAGAAAACTGAGACTTACAGATTTGACTTGGCTGGAAGCAAAATAATTTGATGGTTGAAGCCACCATTTCTCGATACTTAACCAAGTCCTTTGCTTCAATTCAGCTGTAATTTTATTTCAGCATCTGTCTTAATTGACCTTGCCTGACAGAACATTCTGTGCTGAGACAACTGAAAATAAACACAAGACATTTTAAAAGTGAGCCATCGTACCTCCTGAGCAAGCTAAGCCTTTCACTCCAGAGCTCATCTCCAAGTTGAGTTTTATTTACTCGTTTCCCAAGCGAAAGGATAGAAAAATATTTTGTAAGGACTTAATGAAACCTGTGTGAAAAGATCATTCCGTTGGCCTCCGCATCTCCATCCCTAGGATGAATTTTTTGAAAAGTCTTTGAAAAGAAGTTATTTCTGCATATTTTTCTATTTCTGCGACCCCCAAAACCCAGAGAATACAAATAAATTGCTAGCCTAGGTATGTTGTATGTCCCCCTGGACTTAGAAGGAAGGCTTCAGCAGAAGTTGGGGTGAAGGTTGTGGAATAGAGAGAAGCCCTCTTCCCGGATGTTCATTGATAGACCTGGGGTCTTTAAACTTTATCATCTGAGGAGTTGTGAGGGTTTATGAGGAACAACCTCACCGCAGACTCTGTCCTTAGATGGGAATTTGTACAGAACATAGAAGAACGAGGGGGTGTGGATATCTGGAGTAAGAGGAGGGGAATAAAGTTAAGATCCTTCTAGCATTACTTTTTAGCTTCTCAGCCTTGGTCCCCAATCTGCAGGGTTAGATGGAACCCCAGTGAGCCCCACAAACGCCTTTAGCTGATGGATATGCAACCTACAGATTCTGTGCTCTTTGCTGTTGCCCCGACCTTGAACTCTGATGGAAGAAGTTTAGACCCAATTCAATAGAAGCCTGAAAAAGCTCTACTGGACTATGTCCAGGTTCCAGTGTGGGCTGGTTGCCAGCTGGTGCCATCGTCAGCATGTGGGGAAATAGAGGATCAGAAGGCATAAGAGTTCAGGTCCTGACTGTGGCTTCCTGGTTCCATGAAGTTAGAGGTTGGTTCGACCTCATTTGTTGGGGTTACCGTGCTCATGCATGGTGTTTGGAAAAGGAGCTCTTCTCCATGGGTCTTTGAGGAGACGCACAACTGTCAAAACAATAGAAAGCATAGACTAGTTACGTTACGTAAACATTCTAGGGTAGTACTACGCTATACTGTTCCATTCATCTAATCCCCACGACATTCTCCAGGCATGAAGGCAAGCCTAAAGAGAGGTGAGAGACAAGCAGCCCCTGACAGCCAGACACCAGCCTGAAAAGCTACGCCTTGGATGTTGTTGGGGGCTGCTCGGCACTCACAGCTGGGCCGTGGTGTTTTCTGGCTGGGGTAATCTCACAGACACCAGCCTCAGACAAGGTCATGCTGAGACCATGATGAAGTGAAACAAAAAGTAAGACAATTTCATAATCCTGTCTAAGCATAGACAAAAACAAGGTCACTGCTACCACAAACACCAAGCGTCTCCTCCCCCCAAATCAGTCACTGCTTCACCCAGGACAGTGTTAGCTCTCATCGGTCCTAGATGAGGTTTCAGATACACGGTCAGAGAATTGTCCCCACTGCTTGACCACACCCAATCCAGGTGGAACCCCTGTTCCTTGAGCCCTCCCCTAAATAAGCAAACCAAAACCCCAATCCTATACGTTCTTTCTCTCCCTCAGCTTCCCCACGGTGTGTGGCCTCACTGCTGTGAGGGTTACACGGTGTGTTCGACCACAGTTGTGTGCCTGGAGGTCTGGTGGGAGAGGATCGACAGAGGAGTGTGCTAAACTGACAGATATGTCACTTCCTGCGGTCAGCCTGGGCTGCTGCCTCGCAGCCGGAAGGAGAAGGAGCCACACATGGTCCAGGCTGTCGTCAGTCCCCCATTCGTCTGATTAATTTGCAGTAACTCCTGCCCAGAGGGCACGGTGTTCGGACTGGATGCCAGTAACTGGGTGCACCTGGGCCTCGGTTTTCCCTAACCTGTCAAATACAGTGAGAATGGGGTTGTGAGGTGTAGAAACTTCTGGAAAGCTCAACAGGTATAGAATGTGATGATGATGAGTTGGATACGGTGAGACCAACAAGCTGTGTTCATTGTGTGTGGATTCCTGGCACCTCCGCACCTGCCCTTAGAATCTCTCAGGCCCAGGTGTGCCTGTCTCTGGAGCCCGGGAGCTCATTTGGGGTCAGACCTCGAGGTGGGGTCTGACGACAGGGATGGGGCCTGAGCTTCACCTGTCGCAAGGGTACAGTCTGCTTCGAGAATTCCAATGTTCTCCACAGAGGGTCCCGGTTCTGTCTGGGTCTTGTTACATGTGAGCTTCTAGCAGCAGTTCTCAACCTGTGGGTCGCAAACAATGAAAATACATCCTGCATATCAGATATTTACATTACGATTCATAACAGTAGCAAAATTACAGTTATGAAGTAGCAATGAAAATAATTTTATGGTTGGGGGTCACCACAACATGAGGAACTCTATTAAAGGGTCGCGGCATTAGGAAGGTTGAGAACCACTGTTAGAGCCATAGGGCTGGGGTGGAGTGAGGGTCGGAGAGGGGTGAAGGCGGAGGGCCAGTGGGATGATTGGGGACATAGTGCACAGCCTAGTGCCCTCTAGTGGGAATAGCCTAGAAATAGCCCCCAATTTTTCTCAACTGCTGCACACGTCTCGGTCTATTTATATATATTTATATTTATATGTAATTTGCCCATGGGTTTTGTTAAAAACAAACCCAAGACCTGACAGTTATCTTGAAGCTAAACCAGGGCTTACATTAAACAGGCAAGATGGGGCCATGAACACAGGATCCCAGAGTCACAGGAGAGAAGAACACGCCTCCCTGACGACAGTGCTCCGGGTCCCTCTGAAGGTTTTGCTTAGAAGGGGCGGCTGAGTGAAGTCAGGGCCTGCTGTCGGCAAGGCTGGTGTGGAGGAACCTCGTCAGAGGAGGACAGCTGGTCCCTGTTCCTACTTCACTGGTTAATGTTACAAAGGGAAGGAAGAAAGGGCAGGAAGGAAGGGAAGAAACACGGCACCTTTGAGAAACGGATGGAAGGGTTTAAGTCAAAGGCCTGAGAGCCACTTTCTTACTGGAGGAGGGTTAGGGACAGTGCCCAACAGCCAACCGGCTGAGATGGCAGGGCTGCATTTTATTCCGCATAGTCCTACCTAAGGGCAAATATACTTTTTTGTTTCTGTTACTCGTGTTTTGGTGAAAATTCTTTGTAAGCTATTGATTTTGGGGGGCACAAAGATTAAGAGCTCCCCAAAAGTGATACAGAATAGAA